TGGAATGTTATAAAAACCCTTCGACCTGCACCTTCGACCTTCAGCTTCGACCTACAGGGTATCCGAAAAGCGGGCCAAAAAGAAAGTTATAAAAACCCTTCGACCTGCACCTTTGACTTTTCTTATGAAAATTGTCAAAGTCCAAAAATATTTCTTTGAAAAACGACTAAGTCCAACTTCACATAGATTATGAAATTGAACGGAGCTCTGTCCTCGTCGAAAGCTATAGCTGTCATCTCTTGAGTTTACATCGGCGAAATACTTTATATGCCAGGTGACGTCATCACTTTTCGGACAAGATTTGGAAGTTAAATAACAAGTTATTGACGCCATATCCCGTTTTAATACTGATCACACAACAAGACTATGATTTGAACTCAATAAATAGAACAGTAATTGATCGCTACTTACTCTAATCTTACTTCGATTCAATCGAATCAAAACCAGGAAGTAAGTTCTAAAAAGGGAAACTTCCATTTAAACTACCCGATTGACTACCCGATCAACATCAACAGAATCTTAATTTGATAACATGAAAACGCTATTTCACCCCTGTAACTATACCTAGGGTACTGCAAACGTTGCTACAATTTAAGATATTGACGATCTCACCTGTGAACCACAAATCAAATGACTCTTGCGTGGTCTGAGATCGGCAAAAATAGCTTCTATAATATTTTCTTTTTGGACACCCTGTAAGTCGAAGGTGAAGGTCGAAGGTGCAGGTCGAAGGTCGAAGGGTTTTTATAACATTCCAATAAAACTTAGAATACAATAAAAACAAAATTTAGTGGGTCGAATTTAACCAATAAGAAAATTAATCTAGCAGTGTTCACCCGGGAGTGTTCACCAAAGACACGTTTAATTATTTGTTCTTGTGGCATGTACATGTAGTTCCTCAGCCAGTACATTTAAACTGAGAAGCGAGATGGTGATGGAGTTACTTTCAATAACGACTCTCCACGTCTCAATTGTTACTTTAATTGTCGTTCTAGTATGTGGACTTATATTTCTGTATTATAACTCGAGAGGACAACTTCCACCTGGACCAGCTGCTCTACCAATAGTTGGCAATTTCCCGTTTCTTGGAAATGAGCTTCATAAGACATGCGTTTCACTTGGAAAGAAATATGGAGATGTTTTCACATTGAGGTAATTGTAAAATTATCAAAATTCAAATTGATAATCATGTCATGTAAATTGTATTAATCATAGGTTGTAAATGCTAATTGCGATTGTGTAATTAAATTGAACTGTATAACATTTAGCTATACATGTATGTGCTTACATGTATATAAATGTATATTTCTTTCTCTTCTGTTACTTTTCTTCTAGTTTAATATCTTATCTTGATTAATACAATTATGTAATATAATCATATGTAACTATATACACCCGTATGTGTGCCAGTTGCCTATACACTGAACATTGATATAACTGATGAATAAAACAACTATGCAAACTGTAATGCTTAAGACCATCTGATGTTATTCTCGGGTAATGATAAATGTGTCTCATAAGCAAGTATGACTTAACAACTACCATGTTATATTCTATTCAACACATCAAACGTTTTTTCAAAAAAACATATATCGCAGGATGGGTAGGAAGCCCGTCGTAGTGCTGAACAGTTACGCGGCTATCAAGGAAGCATTTGTAAGACAAGGAGATGTTTTTGCTGGAAGGCCGCCTATGTTCATTACAGATGATATGGCCGGAATGTTAGGTAAATGAATAGGCTTCCCCTAGAGATATGCTAATGCACGAGCTCATAATGAAGAGAAAATTATGTGAATTGATTTTGTATGTATGTTTCAAGTGAAATATTCTTGAGGGTCACCATTTTCAAAACAATACTTTTAAACCAAGTGGCCTAGCTAACCCTATAGATGATTAATATATATTAAAAGTCAAATATTTTTTTGTAACCGTGAAAAATACAGCGAACACTGACTGGTGTAGAGCGACCATTTTAAGTTAAAGATAAATCATGTGATTTTTTTATTTGTCTTGATTAAAGTGCAAGTTTCATCAAATTACGAAAATTAAGCGTTGACATCCTGTGAGTATAAATGTGGAAGTCCCTCCATTGCATGATCCCCCTCCCCCCATTTCATTTTTAATACTATAAACTGTAAACATGAAGAAGCTCGGTCTTTTTAGATGATGGTGTTCATTAGGGTTAATCTCTATGGTAATCTTACAGGTCTTGCTGCATCCGAGGGGCCACTTTGGAAAGAGCAAAGGCATTTTGCAATGGGGGTCTTAAAGGACTTTGGTATGGGAAAAACCGATATGGAGCCCAGGATACAAGATGAAATTACGATCTTCCTAGCTGAGATAGAAAAAGAAAATGGTGTAGCCTTTGACATGTGGAATATCATTGGAAAAGCAGTTGCAAATATAATCTGCCTTTTAGTGTTTGGTGAAAGAGTCACATACGATAATGAAGACATTCAACTGTATCTGGAATATCTAAATAAAAATGTGGAACACATTGGAGCCTCGTCTGTGTTGAACTATTTTCCATTTTTGAAATACATTCCCGGGGATCCATTTAAGTTTAAAGAGGCTCTTGAAAATGATGAACCACTCACCGAGTTTCTTGAGAGAACTATCGCAGAACACAAAAAGACTCACAGTCCTGTCAATATAAAAGATTTCTTGGATGCATATCTCAAGGAAATGGCAACCCAAGAGAAGATCAATCCTGGCAAACATGGGTTTACAGGTAAGAGAACGACGGTTATGTTATGGGAGGTTTTGGGTATGGAGTATAGGGACATATATATTTTGCCGACAAGACTTAGAGGGTAACATTTATGTATTAACCCATGGACTTTCAATAGCTATTGAATGCCCATGATTCACCCAATGGAAAATGATTATGATAATGATAAATTGTATCGTTTTATTACGCTATTTGCATTATTTTGCTGTTTATATTAAACAGGCAATGCGCCTATTTTTGAAGGAAAAGGGACAAAATATTTTTTGAGACATGTCACTCACACAGTCAATCAAATATGATAAAAACTTTAATTTGGGATAATACTGAAGTGAAAAAAAAATTTATTCGCATAGAAAACGGCATTTGAAGTTCAGAGATTGAAAAAAGTGAATTACCACTTTTCAAAAAATGTATGTTTTAAATAACTCTTGGATTAAAAGATGGCGTATGCTTGAAAATCCTATCAAAAATGAATGGATAATCAGTGCAAACAACAATGCCATCTTTCTATGGCATTGCTAAAAACTTGACACATATTAATTGATAGATCAAAAATATTTTTTCATGATCCAGTGTCAAGTCTGATGTGGTCTGTTTGAGCTATTTTTGGTGTCAAATGAAAGATCAGGTACTTATTTATCCATTGGAAATACTATGAAGATAAAAAGTGAGATTTCATTTTAGCACTTTGTCCCTTTAACGATACTATAATTGGTACATGTACATTTTCTTTCGAGGGTTCGTGTTCTAATAACACGCTGGCTCTTTTTTCAGATGATCAGTTACTGGAGGTAATAAGCGACCTATTTGCTGCAGGGACAGATACAATGATCAACACACTAAGATGGGGGATCCTCTATCTGGCGATAAATCAGGATATCCAAGCGAAGATCCACCAAGAACTAGATGATAACATAGGAACAGAAGCAATGATTTCTATGGCTGATAAACCAAAGGTACCATACACTGACGCTTGTATAATGGAAATACAACGATTTGCTAATATTATCCCATTTGCTTTACCACATTCCACAACAGAAGATGTTAAGTTCAGACAGTATATGCTACCAAAAGGCACGATGATTTTCCCGAACATATGGGCAGCCCTAGCAGACAGTAAACTCTGGAAGAATCCGGATGAATTTGACCCTCGAAATTTCTTAGATGACAAGGGGAAAGTTAACAAACCAGCACACTTCATTCCCTATTCTCTAGGTAAGTGCCCTACACTTCCCTCAAAAAGTTTGACAACCATGGAAGTGCATTCCTGTATAATTGCATGATTTATATGATTACGCGGTAGTAATTAGAAGTACTGGAATATTTTGATATCTATGTCCCAAAAGATAATGTCATGAACAGTCCATGGCCAAAATAGTGCAAAGTGTGCTCAGAGCGATAATCTAAAAAGTATCCAGACATCACAAAAATTGTTTATTATTCTTTATTTCCCTTATCAAAGATACGGAGCAAAAAACCAGAATAAAACACAGATAGAAAAGAAGCAATTACGAGTCCAACCAGAAACAAATCATAAGCATTCCGAATGATGGTCAAACGATTTTGGATCATTGTGGGTTTAACATAGCCTTACTATTCGTTAGGGCTCTGATAAATCAGAATGATTTTGGATTGTGATGGATTGGTGAACATGTTATGGTAGGGTTGGTGCATATGACGCTGATTCATTGTGTTTGTAATCTTTGCTTTGGATGTAAAGGGTTCGTTTCACTTTTACTGGTTGTACCTTCAGCGTTCTGCTGGTCACGAGACTCTCATTAGTCCTAATTGTTTTCATTTTGTTTTTCAGGTAAAAGAATGTGTCTAGGGGAGTCCCTAGCACGAACAGAGTTGTTCTTATTCTTCACAAGCATGCTCCAACGTTTTCACTTTCGACTTCCTCCTGATCTGCCCCTGCCAAGTTTACAGGGGAAAATAGGACTCACGATATGTGCATTACCTTATAAGGTATTAGCCATAAATAGAACAGCTGTTTTGTAGCTATGCACTATTCATAATCGTGTAATCTTAAAAATTGTTCTCCAAAAGGTCATTAGATATCGTCTTCAAGCAAAATATGAATGTTTTAAAATCAAAATGAAACCTTACAAAAATTCTAATGAAATTGCTTGGTCATTTATTTTACTAAACGAGCAATAACGCATTACATTTGAGTCATTCTATGTAATGTGGAATGAAACTCACATAATTGTCATTCTTTAATTACTCCATTGCTCTTGATCAGATCAAATGTCGTGGCTGTCTTTTCTTACACGATGCACCAATCATTGTCAAGATCGGGAAGACACCTGACCGAATCATTACTTTTGGAAGCCGTTACATCCTCGTCAGTGTCAACATACAAATTTTCAAAAGAAGAATTCAAATACAGACTTGCGGAAGAGCTGATCAGTGTAACGCTTTTACTCGGGCTACTATTACCCACATTGCGAGCAGTTCTATTTGGGGGGCTACTATGATTTCGAAACGTGTAATGTGATCGAAAATCATTAGGTTCATCAATAGCTCCCTTCTTGTTATCTGATGATTTATGAAGCCATTTACGTGAATCTTTCTTTGCTAATTGAACGCCAATGTCTTGCACTTGTGGTTCGTTTTGCATGTGGTCATTGGGCATACTCATAGTGTTTAATTGTTTTTTAGAGGATGATTTATGAAGCCAAACTCGTCTATCTTTCTTGAAGTTGGGTTTGTAGATATCTTTAACATCTTCATAACCCAGCTGCCTCAAGTATTCTGGAATCTTTGAGTACTGCTGTTCAAAGCCCATTCTGATCAATGAAAAATCACTTGGGTGTTTGTCATCCATCGATGCAGATTCATCTTGTTCTGACGTTACCTCGTTTTTGGAAAGGTAGTCAGCTAAGGGGATATATTTTGGGCCATGGAGTCGCCTTATTTTATTTCTTGTTGGGCGATCTTCGTGGCATCCGTTGAGGCCATTGTTTCCTGCACACGAGTAGTCCAGTGCCGTGTCAGACACACAGAACCTAGGCCGTCTGCGCATTCTAGGATGAGAGCCATCTTCTTCGATTGCTTCTAAAATACCCATAAACGCTGAAAACGAAATTCAACCAAGTCCATAATTCAACTTATAGTAGGCCTATCTTTTGGCAGTTATTTGTTGCATAAAGAGCAGTTTCATAATTCTTTATATTTATCTTTGTTTGGCAGACTTAAAATTTTTGCTTTAGTAACGAGACCAAAACTATTACTTACCACTTTACTTAATTGAAGGGAGAGGCGATTATTGCTCTGTTCTTTGACTTCAATTTGATTATAACTTTTGAAATCAAAACAACATCGAAGACAATGAAATGTTCTTTTTTGTGATGTCATAATACTAGTACTGATATCATCATTTGTCCGGCCGATTGTATGTTGTGTTATCTGTTGAACAACAGCCAGTGTTTTTCTGATATTATGGCGATTCGTCCAGGATATTTTCCAGAAAATCGTTTATCAGCCCCATATACGGGTCATATCATTAATCACCCGCACAGTTGTATAATACGTGAATTTGTTTTTAATTTTTGGTCAAATTTTGATCATGGGATATACCTGATTATCAGCTATCAGATTATTTTCAGCTTGTAATAAAATGGTTTTGCATTCCAAGTTTCTCGTAAATATATAATATCAAATATCAATATTCGTTTGCCTCGCTCACTCGTGTTGATATTTGGCATCAATTACTCTTCGATAAAAACTATATCACTTACCTCCGTATCTATCATTGTCTATATTGATGATCAGATCACGGACCTCTGCCAGATACCACTTCTTGTTGTCTAGGCTCAATGAAAATACTATGCATACGTGTGATTTGTTATTAAGGAATTACGTAAGATCACTTATATATCATTTATAAACAGCAATATCACCTTGTATTACTCCAAACACCGGGCTTCAAACACAAACTCGGTTTTGCAAACTCAATTATATTTCGGTTATCTTTGATATTCAACTTTATAAATATGATTGAGTTATACCTGAAAATCTAGCTCTGTTAGTTAATACTGTATATCGTCTTATCGATATGTCATGATCATCATATAAGTCGAAAATCGTCATTTCAAGCTAAATTAATGTACAATCATTGCCAGCTTAATTAGTATCGTCCTTTGCGTGCTCATCTGACTGATGGCGATGATGGCGAACAATGGTTAAATGAAAGTTCCGTGTATTCCTAGAGGGATATCACATGGGATCGACGCTCTTCCAACTTCCTTAAAACTTTCTCCGTCTAACACTAAGACAAACGTTGACTTGTCTTTGTTTGGGCTGATTACAACTGACAACACAACTCCTGTGAAAAGTAATGTCAGCAATATTATGAAGAGAAAGGGTTAGACCTAGGATGAAGGTTAGACAATTATAAAATCAAGAATTTGCAGACTACGTGTACAAAAAATCACTCAAAACAGTGTTTTTAATGATTTGCAATATCATAAGAACTTTGGTAACATGCATACAGTAGTTACGTAGTTATTGCTTATTACTTTTATCATTTTGCATGTGTTCACCAAAATTAGATTAGAACAAATGTACTTCTTTATTCCCTTATGCTTATTTCATACCTTCATCCTCTCTTGTAGCATTAGGGGCAGGAACAAACATAGGCTCAGATGGATAGCACTCATCTTCTTGCCAAATCTACAAAGTATTTTGCAAACTTTAAAAATCAAACAAGATAGGCCGGCCATGGGAGGAGACCAAAAATTGACATAAAACATTGACTACCACAGGATTAAGAATCAGGTATCAGAAACTAATAAATAGGCCTACATCTTTCTTTTTCAAATAAATAACTTCTTATTTACACCATTGAATGGTGGTGAGATAACGATGGTAGTCAAAGGGTTGATATTCATTATAACGCCCTGGAGTTCTAAGTTACACGAAAAACGTTAAATTACATTTTAAGGTCCATCTTATGAAGAGAGGATAGTTTTATATAAAATGTCTTATAAATAGAATGATGTTTAACTTGTCACGTCGAAAATTGTAGCGGTTGTCTTAATCTTCCAAAAATTCTCTGTCATATTGGGAAAGCAGCTAAATACAATAATGTTTTTCTGATTTGAAATGGAACACGATGTTTTATCATAAGACAACAATAGTCAAGACATTTCACATTTACCTGTGCAGTTTTTGTTTTAACATCGAGCTTGACCAATTTATCAGGCGGGATAACAAATTCTGGAAACCCAGTGAAGTAGCAATAACGGTACGGTTTTCCATTGTAAAAGTTATAGTTTATTTGTGGAAAGTCCATTCCACATGTCTTGCTTCGGAGGTCCTCGGGAATAAGGGATTCACAGGTAAGGTACACGTTTCCGTCTTTCTTTAACATTGCAGTGGCTGGAATTATACAAATTCCATTAAACGGAATAAAATATTTTTCGAATATCAAGAGGTCGTCATTATTTTAAAGAGTGCAGTAGATTTCGTTCTTGGAAATATATATTTGTTTTCCTAATTTCGACATAATATCACCGGTTACCTGTTGTTCCTGTCAAAGTTATCAAGTTCGTATTCTTTGGACTTTCCTTCGTTACATCAAGAGGTATCACGAATCGTATGGGCCAAGATCGTTGGGCTTTGGACAGCTTACTGTTTTTGTAGCTTTCTTCATCGTCCACTTTCTGCAATAACATCATGATCAAAAACTTTACAAATACATTGAATGAACGTTTGCATGACTCGTGGGTGCCCATTGACTTGTTTATATCGGGTGTCCCAAAATAATGAATCGCTTTTTGACCAGTGTTTTCTCAGCAATTGATAATTCAAATTTATTGTAGCCTTAGGGTATCATTAGCAAGTTTGACATGCAATTTGTAATTTGTCAATTCTCACATAATATGTAACTGATCTCTTTTATATGTTTTTCGACTTAATACTAATGATACAATTAGGCCTATAGAAATTTCAATGAATTTGAGTAATCAATTCCTGAGAAACACTTGTCAAAAAGCGATTCATTTTTTGGGGACACCCGAGGTAACCTTATTGTGAGGATTATATGCACGGGCATTACATTTGCTTTCTGGATTCTGGATTACAAATCTCAATATATCAGCTGAACAGACTATTGCTATAATGTGTTACCCATATCTATATGTAGGTAGAAAATATAATCGTAAGGTTGGAAAGTTACGTTTACTTACAATTCCTTTAAGATAGGCCAGATACAGAGTGTCGAATCCTGATGAATCACCAGCCCCACACAAGTCAATGATTAAATGTCCACTTTCTTCGTATGAGTTGATAACGTGAAAGTGGACAAATGGTTCGGATACGAATTTCAATGGCAAGACTGTACCTTTAAAACAAAAACCCATTTTTAAGATGGGTCTAGCGTTTGGATATGCTTGTGCACGATTTGGTTTGGAAAATTACTTAGCCCAAAGTTTTACCGAATTCATAATAAGGTTGTACATAATCTTACAGACAACATGCATAATCTGATAATGACATATTTAGAGTATCAGACCCTATTAACACTATATACAACCCGCTTTTTACTATATGAGGGTTGGCGCCCCGGGGTTGGCGCTCTGCTGCACTGTATCCTCGTATTCTTAGAACACATAGTTTTTCAAACAGTTTAATCACACCTTACCCGTTCTCTTGTCACAGACGTGGAAATTTGATTTGAGGTTCTTGTGAAACGACATCATGGTATCCACCCCCGACTTGAAGAGTTTCCAGGTCATTACTTTAAACATACTAAACCTCAATGGCTGCTCGTGGAATATAATATAGTTGGCAGACATGTTGAAACTGAAAAAATGGAGAACACACTTTTAATCTGGTCACTCATACCCTAAACGATGACTTTAGTGCCCTTGTGTTGTAGGATATTTGATCTGGATCTTGAGAAGTATTTTATCGATCATACATATACATATTAGTTTAAACTATATAATCAATAATCAGATATAAAATTTACAATTCCTAAATCGCCAGAGGTAACTGTGAGAAATCGAGAAGTTTGACCAGTTGAACTAAATGTACACTTGAATGGCTAATTAGGAAACAAAAATAGGCGTTGCAAAACCTTAGTCAAAAAGGGTATTATATTTTATACTTTTATGGGACATAACTTTTTCAATTTTATTCGAAAACGATTTTGCCTTATTATATAGTTAGTTACATCAGAGACATGTTTTATATGTCTCTGGTTACATCCATGCCAAATTACGCATATAGCATACTATTGCTCAACAAACCTGTGAAAATATGCAGGGTGCATGCGACTTTCCATTGGTATAGTATGAAGAATCTTTGCACCTTCAACTGGATCATCTTTCTTGGAATCCGGAGCTATCTCAATGACGTGATAGCAGCCTGCCTTGAAGTTTATTCCAATGTTGTAATAAGTTCCATCTGGCATAATGTGCGGATGCGCAGTAGATGTATGGATAGTGACCAGTTTGCTCATATCCACCTATCGATTAGAAAATATTATTACTATGTAATTTCTACGTTGATCACCTTTATTTTAAGTTGGTTTGTACAATGTGACAGTTTAAGAGGCTGATTATGCTTTAGCCATAGATCGCGTTATCCATAATATTTATTATACAAACCTTTTCCAAAAATAACTTGTCAAAATTGAGGTCGTTGATGGGTAAAGTTATTTAATAAACTGCCATATTGACCTACTTTTCAATAAAAATGGCTGCTCAATAGCCTGCCTTAGCATTACGGGTATACTTGTAGGATAGGAAATGTCAGATAATATACTAAGAAGAAGATTTAGAGATTTCTTATAAGGAAATAGATGCGCAATGGTTATTCATTTATTACAAAAGATGTAATCAATTATACAAAAATCATGATCGGTTTATGTCTCTCCTAGGCCTCCCTATACTAACAATGTTGAACAGTTGAATGAAGTTGATGTGACGACAGTTTTAAAATGGCAGCCCAAGGTGGATCCTTTTTATCATTTTTGAAATTATTATAAAACCAAACATATGAGTTAAGTGGAAATAAATGAAAATATGGGTTGTTTTAGCAATGAAAATAGAAACAAGGCATTAACATCACAAAATGTCACCACCTAGTTGCTCACAATATTATGAGTTCAATCTTAAGTCAGATTTGAACTTCTGAGAACATGAAGATGATTTTGAAAACAAATTGGTCAATTTGAAGCAAG